CATCACTAATTTTTATTAACTCAGTTGAAACCACCACATAAGCTCAATATTCTTTTTTAAAGTCTGAAAGTATTTGCATTATAAAACATAAAAGTCTGCCTATTTTCTAGAAAAAAATATTTTCCCTTTAATTTTTTTAATCTTAATTTATTCATTTCAGAAATATATACCGAACACCCAAGTACCATGCACCAATGATGTACCAGGAATATAGTGCTAAATAAGAGAGATAACTCCCATGAGGCTTTACTTCTAGAGGAGAAGAGAGAAAATAAACACATATATAAAATGACCAAGATAATATCAGATAGTTACAAAGCTGTGCAGGAAATGAAATGGAGAGATTTAATAGATGGGTGTAGAGGGCAGGGTTATGGCAGGGACTGATACTCTAGAAGTGGATTGAAGCTGAGATCTGAATAAGAAAACTGTTCTGCAAAGACCAGGTTGAGCACATTCCAACAGAGGGAAGAGCTGGAAAGTAGGAGCAGAAAAGTTAGTGTGGCTGAAGTGGCTTGAACCAAAGAATGGGAGATGATGTCAGAGATACAGTCAAGAGCCAGACAGTATAGAGCCTTATGGACCTTGGTCAAGTTTAGATTTTATCCTAAATGAGATGTGAAGCCATTGGAAGGTCAGAGTGAGTAAGGGTATAATCTGATTTATAACGCTGAATGGTTACCCTGGCAGCTGAGCAGAGAATGGATCACAAAGGAGAATGAATAAAGCAGAGCAGCTAAAAGGCTGCTGCAGCCAGGTGAGAGAAGATGGTAACAGTGGGAATGGGCAGATTCTAGGAGCATTTTAGAGGGAGAACTGGCAGGCTTGGAATGGATGTGAGGGTAGGGACGAGAGAAAGCTGGGGATCAAAATGTTTCTTAGTTTTGGCTTGAGAAAGTATATTGGTACTGATTTATTGAATTCAAAAGACTTAGGGAGGTAGGAATTTGGAGCAGAAAATCAAGTGCTCTTTCTTAATACTTTTATTTTGACCACATGCACTGAATAAGAGACACTTGTATTTTTCTAACTCAGAAATACACTTAAAAACTCATTTTTTAGTGTTTTGAAATTTTAGCATTTTGCAAAGCTAATTCTAACTAATCAAAGAGACCAATTCATCCTCCTTGTATTTATTATTTGAGTTATGTATTCCATTTGCACATATATAACAACTAAAGTTTAAAGAATGTGTGTAATCCATGCCACTCCCCGCACCCCCCCTCCTGCCCCACACACAACTTTCTGCTGGAAGTTTTAGGAAGCAAGAATGCAAAGGAAACTAAGACTCATACCTGCTTAACCTACAGGATGATTTAAAGCAACACGGAATAAATAAATTTAATTGTGCTGATGATGGTAGCAGCCAAATCATGTACCACACCAGAGCTAATATAGCCTAGAACAGTGTATGTGCAATGTTTTATACCACTTCTTAAACATTAAATAGCTCTCATTGCAAAAGAGTCATATTTCTTCTATTTCAGGTATTCTCAAAGAGTACAATCAGTTCTACTGTTTGGAAAACAGGAGTCTGTCCCGATGCATTTGATATAGGAGGGACAATTTTAGGACAATGCAAATTGAATGTTTGTTTATTCGCCATCTTGTCCAACAGCAATATTAGATGAATGCAGAAAACTGCATATAATTGATCTGAACCACACAGGAATACACAAAACACACACATACTCCTCAAACATCTGCCAGCTACCTCAGTTCACCAGCCTGTGTTATGAGCCACACCCATTCACATCTGGTACTAGAACTTCCCATCTGATTTCAGGTAACCCTCCTTCTACCAATTCAAAATGACTCACAAGCTTCAATCTCTCTGATGCCCATGAGCAAACTTCAGGTTTGTTTCAAGGTAAGGTGCTATATTTATTATAATATTTATATATTTCCTAACCATTTAATGTGTGGAAAATGGTGCTACCATTTTTATTAGGTTTCTAATTTTATGCGTCACTGCAAAGTTTTTGAGTGTTATACCTCTACCTGTTTTATTTCATAAGCCCTGGAACACATATAGCAGAATTGGCTACCTATGAAATGCTAATGTAGTCTTTCTGGGTTAAATTTCTAAAACTTAGCAAACATCTAGAATCATTAGGGTGATGAGAGAAATCTAGTTAATTTCTCTGAGTCATAAAATAGGTTTAACAACAATGCTTACATGAGATTTTGCAAGCTTAAGAAAATCACAACTCTCTAATTGGATATTATAAATTAAATGTTATTTCACTCACAAGAATGGTCATTTCTATCTTATATGAGTGTTCAATTTTTTCACTCTAATTGTTTTATCCTTTCTTTACATCTCATACTCACAAGAAAAAAAAACTTAAGAGAAGTTATTTTTAGTTTGAAAAGAAATAGTAAATTTTGTAAAATGTGTGTGTTTGTGTGTGTATGTATATTTATATATTGGGGATAAAGTTATAACGCAACCTAAATCCATCCTGAGAAAAAAGTATTACTGTTGCCTAACTGTTGAATACGTATAATGAAAGGAAAAGAAAATACAAAGGGAGGGAGGGAAGGGAAGAGAAGAGAAAGGGGAAGGGAAGAAATTTTACTCTTTTCACTCAAGAAGCCAAAAAAAAAAAAAAAAAATCACTGCTTAATAAAAAGTAATAGTAGAAGAGAAAAGTCTTAGTATTCATTAAAATACCATAAAGCTCTTATAAGCCAGACATATAACCGTGGCATATTTTATGAAAAAAATAAATAAATAAAAGAGAAGAAAATATTAACATCGAGAGTCTTGAAGACTTTCATCCTGAAGCCCTGGAGGTTTAGCAGGCGTCCCTCCAAGCTATCCCTAACTAGCTCAGTGTGTGGGCGTGTACCAGAGACGCCTGTCCACTAGGGGCTAGACTTTCACCAATAAACTGCTTTTAACTACAGCACTTAAATAAATTCCTACTTAACTAGCACACAGATAAAAAATGTTTTGTTAACTCTGAAACGTATTTCTGATCATAAGAGAGATAATTTTTAAATATGTACCTCAGATCAGTTTAATAGGTCCAAAAGAATTGACACAAAGACATGTATTCACAAAATAAATGCTCTTTCAGGAAGTTTACATTGTGACATTAAAAGGGTTTTATCATTGAAACACTTGCTATTTTCCACCTTTTTCACTTCCCAACTTTATGAAGGTTAAAGACTTTATCATGCACTAATTGTGCTTAATTAACATCAAGCAATCAAGTATTGATGGTGTGCCACTGTTATATAAATGTATTAGAAGCAGAACAAGACCACAGTTGTTTTTAAATTTTTATGGAATTCACCAACTTATCAAATTTTATTCAGTTATTTCTGAATAATAGGATTGGGAAACAACTTATGGGTTTTTTTGGATTTTGTTTTTTAATTTTCATCCAGTTTTCTATAACAAGGAAGTAAACTTTTATAGTCACAAAGAAGGGTAATTTTTAAATTTAAGATTCATTTATTGCACTCCTATCGATCCTGCTCTACCCATACAAGGATGAAGTAGATCAGAACCCTTTCTCAAGCTAGCCCAGTCACATTTGAGAGAGAGCTATATAAACAGCACCCTCTCAAAACAATGGATTTCCTTGTGCTATGAAATAGGTGTGCAGAACAATATAAAGCAGGGTGTGCAACTGCTGAGATCCATGGTTCGGAGTCAGAGAACTATAGTCTAATATCGATTCTGCTGTGTGATTCTCAGTACATTTTTAGCCACCCTAAGTTTCTCTACTGTGAATCAGAAATGGTAATTGCTATCTCATAGGATTAAGTGAAATAATGTATGTAAAGCTTTAGCACAGTCTCTGGCACATGCTAAGTGTTCAAAAAATGGTATGTTCTTATAATAGAGAACCAGGGAAGCTTGGGGTAGGGCATTAACAACAAACATACCTACTGATCAACGTGTGATGGACAGAGGAGGGGAGGTTCTCAGTGCACCAACACTCATCTACTTTGGATGTTCACTGCATTAGAATTTTATAGTGAGATATATATATACACACACATATACACACTTACTATCTGCAAGAAATATAAATGTCTTATAGCATAGAGTCTATTTTGAAGCTTTAAACCCAACAAGATTATAGAACTCTCTCAGGAGGAATGAGTTGGCCAAGTTCTGCCAAGGAAGTTCTCACAAGAAGGCATTATAAAATGTCCTTATTCCTCAGAACTTAACTTTAAAATGTTCCCACTGGAGTCCAATGGGAGTTTTATGGGAGTAAAGGATAGAATTAGGTCTTGTGTATTTTTAAAGGGTCATTCAAAAAGGCAAAGTCTAAATTTTTTGCAGATGGCAGAGTAAGGACTGATGCAGTTGGCCAAAACTGACCTTTTATATTTTCCAAAAGCAAATGTTTACTGAAAGAGCACTCTACTATACTACCAATGGAAAAAAAAAAAAAATCCTGGATGCTTACATTGGACAACTCAGCACACATTTGCTGCCAAATGCATTTATAAAAATCAATAATAATATTTTCCATGGTACCTGTTTTCAACCTTCCCTCCAAATTTTGCCCTGTAGTTGCTTTTTCTCGAACACAAATATGTTTCTGAGGAAAAATAACATTTTAAATGAGAATAGGCTTGTGAAAGAAGCACATGCATTTTAAGAACCTTACTGTTCACTTTATAGTCTCTACTTCACCACAATGATGCACAGGCAAGGATGAAGATGATTGATTTTGCCAGGTCTTCTGGATAGTAAATTCAGAACTGATTTTAACTTCTTCCAGAATGAAACTCCTTTCAAAATTCTTTCAAAACACAACTCTCTTTTTCAAAGAGAAAAAGGGGTTTCAGAAATTTCTATGCTCTTTTCAACGTTAAATAAATAACTCTTAAAAAGCAAAGTTTTGATGACTTGAATAAAAAAAATGGTTAGAAATACTACGCCAAACATGAATGAGAAAAGTTAAAGAAAAGGCAGTTTGTCACCGTATGTATTAGATTTGATGAATTCAAAAAGTTTGGCGGGAAGAGTGCTTGCCTCAGCAGCACATATACTAAAATCAGAATGATACAAAGATTAGCATGACCCCTGTGCAAGGATGACATGCAAATTCATGAAGTGTTCCATGTTTTAAGAAGTTTTTAAAAACACATGTAAAATGGTTTCTGGAATGCTACTTACAATCAATCTACTGGAGAAGAGTTTTTTTGTTTTTTGTTTTTTTTCAGGGAATGAAGGTGATATCTATTCTGTAATGCATCTAGACAAGTGCCTAGAAACAAAAGTATTAAAGATTGTTATATAGTGTTTGCTACCTGCAAAATAAAAGAAGTTTAGGGGTAAACATTGAAATTATGAACTCAAATTATCAGTAGAATCAATCATCCCCACAAGTTCTAGCCATAGTTTAGAACTTTCTTATCTTCTTACTTATTAAGTGGGTTTCAAGTACTCATTTAACGTGTAGATTTTTAAAAACATTTTATTCCATAGCTGGTCCCTAGAAAACATAAAACACCCCACTTTTCTTTCTCACGAGAAAATAAACACCGCAACTATTCATTTAGACAACATTAAAAATGTCTTATATACATGAAGTGATTTTAGCACCTAATCTAAGTTTTGTTTTCTGTTATGAATTGTAGAAGTCTATACCTTTTTGAAAAACAATAAGAATAAATGAGTAACTTGAAGTGTGAAAGAAAACCCCAATTTGGAGAAAACTTTGGTTGTTTCTTGTGAAGTTAAATATACTCCTATTCTTTGACCTAGCAATTCCACCTCTAGATAGTTCAAGAAAATAAAAATAAAAATATATATTCGTAAAAACATTTGCACAAGAATGCTCATAGGAGCTTCATTCATAAGTGGCAAAAACTAGAAACTCAAATTCCATCAAGAGAAGAATGGACATATTTTTAGTAAATTCATGCAGCAGAATACTACTCAGCAAAAAAAAAACACCACACAACGTGAATAAGTCTAAGAGGCATTACCCTGTTCAAATGAAGCCAAACACAAAAGAGTACACAATTCCACTTAAATGAAAGTCAGTATTAGGCAAAACTAAAACAATAGTTTTAAGAATCAGAGAAGTGGTTGGGTAAAGATAAGGGTTACCTGGGGGAGGACAGGAGGGTACTTGCTGGTGTGATAGCAATGTCTGTTCTTTATAGGGGTATAGATTATATAGCTGGCTATATGCATTTGTCAAGGCATGAAACTGCACACTTAAAATGTGGGTTTCACTAAAGATTAATTATATCTCAAAAAAATAAATGTATATATTTTTAAAGATTTTTTTATGTATGTCATGCAAATAAACAAAAGGAAGTATGAATTCTTTTAAATGTCTTCCTATATTGCTATTTGTGAACTTAAGTGGTTCTAACAACTTAATGAATATATTTAATTTTGCAACTATGCATCATTTTTCTAACTGGTCTATTTTCCAGAAGGCAAGAGCTTGTCTCTTTTTTTAAATTTAAATTGTTTGTAACACAGCACACAAATTGCCATTAAACATGGCAATGCAATGAGAACCTCTAGAAGGAACAGGTGGATCACTTCCCTTTTTTTTTTTCTTATGACTTTGAGAATAAATCTTCCCCAAATGACACCTTTCTCCTTCAAACACTTCAGTTGTATATTTTATAACTTTTACATATGTCATTTTTACATGACAGTCACAGCTCCCACCTGGAGTTTTGCAACACTGTCCGCATGTTACCTTTTTTTTTTAGAATATGCATGTTTTATTCTGAATAATTTTGCATAATAAAAATGAACATACAAAATAATTAACACAAAATATTTTAACAAGCTGAAATAAATCATGAAAGAAAAAAGCAGATATACAATCCATGGCGGTCTCCAAAAGTCTTATAAAAGTTGAAGAACATCCTTCCAGTTTCACTAATGGAAAGACCTGAAGGTCAAAATCTAAATCCCAATATCTAGAGGCTAAAAATAATCTACTATATACTACCTAGGCAATTAATACTGATGTTAAAGATAGCCAAATTCAACTGCTGATGTTAAAATAATCATGCAAATGGTTTAATAGTCACAGAGATTTTAACTAACAAGCTGAGAAAAACTTCAAGAATCACAAGATCCCTATTAAAACATTTCAAAATAGACTGATCTTTTTCATTGCCTTGCATAGTCATTCATTCACTTATTTGTTCATTCTAGCCACAACTATTTATTGGGCATCTATTATGTACCAGAAGGATACCAGAAATACACAATAAGAATAGTCTCTTCAACAAATGATTTGGGAAAACTGAATACTACATGCAAAAGAATGAAACTTGACCTTATATTGCACCATGCACAACAATCAACTTAAAATGGAGTAAAGACTTGAGCATAAGACCCCAAACTATAAAATTCCTAGAAGAAAATATACAGAATCAGTTTCATTACATTGGCCTTGGCAATGATTTCTTGGATGTGACAACGAAAGCAACAGGCATCAAAAACAAAAATGAGTAAGACCACTAAACTAAAAAGCTTCTTTTCTGCACAGCAAAGGAAACAACAGAGATTAGATGATTAGATTTCATTTTAAATGTTCTTTCCATAATTTTTTTAAAACATGAGATGCTCACTACATTATAAAATTTTAAGATACATGGTGATTTGACACATATTCTTTAGAAATGTACAAAGGTCAAAAAGAATTGTTGTGAAAAAAAATGTAATTTAATACCTGGGGACTAAGGTGAGAATGTGTCACTACTTACTGCTAATAAGACAGGAGTAATTTTTCCCACTATATATTCCTGTTACAATTTGCAAGCAAGTGAAAAGAATACAATCCTAATGAATAAAACTTTCAGAAAGCATAGAAAGGCAATCTATGGAGCCTTACAAGCAATGCCATCTATTGTCAGAGAAAAGTGGAAAAGGTCATGGAAAAGAACCTAAAAACTTCATGTACTGACTATTTATTCAATGTTTAAGTTAGAATGTACATTCTGATGTTAGTAACAGAAATGCAGGCTTATTTCTCTCTCACATCAAAGAAGTCATGAAGTTGATAGGCCAAAGCTGGTATGGCGGGCCCACAGTCATCATGAGTCCAGGGTCCTTCAGGCTTTCTGCTCTACCATCTTTAAGTTGCTTCAGGATCCAGTAGGACTGCTGGAGTTCTGGTCATCATATTCACATTCCAGGAAACAAAAGAGAAACAGATGGCTAGGGACAGAAGAGTTTCCCCAGAAACACCCCATAACAACTTCCACTAACATTTTATTATTCATCCCTATCAACAAGAAAGGCTGGGTGATGTAGTGTTATAATCATCCAAGATTAGTAAAGAAGAAAGAGAGGATGGATATTGGACAATCCTTTACATAACACCAGTGCTGGAGGTAAAGATTAACTATATCCTTTTGCCTAATGGAATATAAAAATGGTAACTGTAGTTGTTTTTCCTCTTATAACAACAAAAGCAAACAACTGACTGTTTAGCACATGTCACGCAGTGTTCTAATTCTTTTCTTGTATTATTTTATACACTCCTTTTAATAACCCTATAAATAGGTGAATTCTTCCCCTATTTACAATCACAGAACTAAAGCACAGAGTTTAAGAAACTTGCTCAAATTCATAGAGCTGTTAAGTATCAGAGCCAGAATTTGAACTCAAGTAAACTGCCTGGCTCTAGAACAAAAAAGTATATGATAAACAGTATTTTTAAATTAAAACTAACAAACATATGTGATTCAGAGAGATAAAACTGTACTAAAAATTACACTTACATTAATGTTGGTCATAGTATTTTCTGACTGGCAAGAATTTGTTATTTTCATCTTTAAACTTTTCTGAATTCTCCAAAATCCCCATAATGGTTAGGTATTGCTTTTGTAATAAGAAAGAAAAAATATTTTGTAAAATAACACTATAACCAGGATCAAAAAAGAAAAAAAAAGGTATTTAATTGCTAAGTATGACAAGTAAGTAAACATGAGATTGATGAAGCAAGTTTTTATTCTTCATAAATGCCGATAACACCCAACCATCGATGCATATAGAGCTATGTCAGCTAATGCACTTGAATGGAATTCCCTCTAAAGGCAAACACTGTTGGTCAACAGGCTTTCTGTAGTCATCAACTTACATGCTGGGTGTTTAAACAATGCACATTAAATTCATCTCAACCATGCACAAATTCTAATAACAATGTTTACTGAAAGAAGCCAAAAGGTGTGTGTGGAGGAAGGGAGAGTTGTATGGTCAAAAAAACTAAATGTTGCTCAACTGCTAACTTTGTATTACTCTCAATGTGATAATATGATAAAGGCAAAATCTTTATGCTAATGAGAAAAAAAAGAAAAAAGGTTCTGGTAACTACTAAAATGGTGGCTGACTGAACAAGAATATATTTTGTTTTATACGTCTTTTATGCAGAGCCATTATAATATAATGTGTGACAATTGAACATTATCGAACTTAAATTTCAGGTTTGGGTCTTTTATATCAACAGCAAAATCAAGAACAATAAAACAAGTCATTAAAAAATCTTACCGAGAATTGATTCCATTGCAATTACAGGACTCTTAAGAGCTGAGAATGTTTTCAGAAAAAAACAAAAAACAAAAAACAAAAAAACTATTCGACCTTACCCTCAAATTATAGACCTTCTGAAAAGAGAATTAACAACAACTAGGGAAATGAACAGAAAACATTTAAATGCTAGTAAAGCATTCAAAACCTGAGTTACAGGGTTCTGTTAAATTGGATAGACAGAATTAGATGAAGAATAGGACTTGAATCAGAGGGTGAGAAGTCGACTAGGTCATGAAAAGGCCAATCTCCTCTCCCAAACAAGTACTGTACAATGAGGTAACACACGAAGTTAAGAATGAGTAAAACTCAGAGAGTTCAGAGTTCAGGCTTAGTATGCCTAAGAAATGAAACAATAGCTCAGATGCTTACCTGAATCTTCTATAGACTTGAGTTTATGAAACTGAGCATGAGCACCTGCCAAAACTACTAGCTTTCTTGGAAGATTGCTGATTCTTCTACCTCTCACCCAGGCAGATCCAAACAAATCTGACCTTATCCCTTGTAGCAAGGAGAAGCAAGTTACTAAGTTTGGGGCAATGGCAGATAAGCAGACG